TTGACCCATGCACTGACCTAAAGAAAAATAAAACACTGTGTCTTTTGTTAACAGCTGTTTCTCTAGTATGTGTTATGTGAATTTGGGAAAAAAAGATGTGATGTTTACTGGAATATAATATAATTCTACTCTGTACGTACATGTGTGTGTGTGCGTGTGTGTGTGTGTGTGTGTGTGTGTGTGTGTGTGTGTGGTGTCCTCTGTAATGTGTCCTCAGAAACTCTATCTATTACAGCTTATGTTGCCTTTACAGTAACAAGTCCCTTGAAAGCCATCTCACTGATTCCTGGTAATGATTCACCATGAAACATATAAATCCGGTTTGGTCTCATGGGATAAAAATGCAATATATTGTTTAAAGAAGCAGGGAGAACAGTGTAAACATATAGCAAATGTTTTTATCATATCAAGTGTTGAGTTATGTTACAGTTATATTAAACATCCAGCCAAATCGGAATGACAAAAATAGGAAAGATATAAATCAGATACTTAAAAAAAAACATATCTCCTGCTCAGACAGGTTCCGGTTTTAGGATTGTTTTCATCCTACCACAGCGCTCTTAAATTCTCCATTCTGATTGGACAGAAAGTGATGATTAATTTTCTATAACAGCGGCTCTGGCAATAGTGCAGCTGTAATTCAAATCACAGGTTTATATTAAAGCGCTAGTTCTAATACAATATTGTTTGTATAGGTTCAGCTGATAAACAGAAGCTGTATGATGATATTTAACAAATAATAACGTTTATTCCTTTCTGTAAGGAGACGTTTATGTAATATTCATGGAAGGAGTCTCCAGTGTCAGCAGTGAGTAAGTGTTTACAGCACGGGAAAGTCTTCAGGACTCAGCGCTTTCCAGTTTCCTGCTAACATGACAAGCTGCGTTTTTGTGGTATTAACTTAAAAAGAAAGAAAAAAGGAGAGGCTGGCTTGGAATCGACTGTTCCACTGATGCTCCACAGCATTACACGTAACGATAAACAGATAAAAAGCATGATGTGTCATTTTTAATAAATTAAACATTTTGTATGTTTTAACAATTGAAAAATTGTAATCAAATTACAGATGTTACAGAAGGAGGCCAGTAGGGTGGCCAAGCGTATTTCATGGGGGCCGTGGCCCCTCCTTTAGAACCGCCCCTGTCTGAGACCTGTCCTAAAGTTCTTACACTGGAACAGAAGTAAACGCAACACAAACACAGGAGAATCAAGATTGTTAAAGTTGCATTTGGTAAGATCAGTCAATTTTTTTCATGATTAGGTCTCTAACAGTTAAGTAGATGGATTTGACATTTGAATGATTTTTTTTTTACTCCTTCAGCCCACCCCTTCATTCCCACCCATGTTCACGAACCTCCGCCCCCAGGATCTACAGTAGCCTGTAGAGTAATGTGTCTATAAAATGACTGACAGGAGGCATATCTAAACACAAACATGTATTCCATAAGTCAGTTTTCCAAACAGGATTTGGAAAAGCCACGGGTTAAACCTTTATAGTTTATAATGTTATTTCTACACGTAAGAAAAAAAACTATTGCACCTTTGAATCCTTTTACTGGTTTATGGTATTTTTAGATTTAATGATATTTAGAAAAATCCCAATTAAACAAAAGCTAGAAATAGTATAGTAGCATATTAGATGCTAGTACATACACAATGGATCTTATATAAAAGCACATTTTCTTATTCACTAGTCCACTTATGCTTGACTATATGGACAGTAAATGTCAGTACAAAATATATGTTATAAAGAAAGTGTCTGCTGCTAAATGAAAATTTCCATTAGCTTTGGGTGAGAAGTGGCCACTGCAGTCGTGGCAAAGTATTCATTTCTGCCTACTATAATAACCTCATAAAAGAGGTTGGGGAAGTTTGGTCTCTTCCATTACTGTTTTTAACACACATTTGCTGACTTCCTTCATTCATGAGTCAGAGGTGTGCATCATCTCCATCACCCTAGCAGCATAAAAGGAAGGGTGTCGACAACACTCGACCTCGGCAACAACGGCAGTGAAGTTTTTTAAACTTTGCATACAAAAGTTTCTTTTAAACGCTATATAGTGCCATATCGGCTTGCTGACTACCTAGCATGCTAAAGAGCTAGCAACATACTGTAGCAAAGTACTAAATTTGATGTACAGAC